TTGCATGTTGCCTGTTGCCTTTTGCCTGTTGCCTGTTGCCTGTTGCATGTTGCCTGTTGCATGTTGCAGTTTGTAAGTTGCAATGGGCAATGTGAATGCAACCAGCAAAAGGTCACAACAATATGAAATTTTCCAAAACTTTGTCTGCACGTTTTTCCGGCGTAATTTCTAAGGTGCTGACATTATTAATATATATGAATATAATGAATTTCAAGATTGGTAGACAGCATGCAACAAAACCTTCACCAGCCTTTTTTGTAATAGCTGTACGTGACCCAATTATAGGATGCTTTAGCAAGTGTGTCGGTGTTGTCGGTCTTGTAGTGAGCAACGGATTACATTTTTTCAAAGAAACTGGGGGTGAGGGGGCATAGATCTGAGTCCCAAGACTCTATCCGAGGAGTCGTTTGCTGGAATCCCATAGAAAAAGGTTGTGTTTGGTTTCCTATTGATTTTGTGTATGAGAGAGAACATATACCTTAATAGATGCATCGACGGATCCTGTCGCTACGAGCCGACCTACACAAAAAAACAAAATCACCACCTGGTCAAAATACTAAAGGCTACTTCATTCTCGACCGTCAGGTACTGTCCAAGCCACAGGTAGCCCAAGCTTTGCTCCTGTTTTGTCTGTGGGCAAGCCAGTCTACAGAAATCGATAGCAAGATACGGTACTATATTTTGAAGCAACCAACCTAACGTTATTTCTTGGTCAACGAAAAGAGAGAAATCGCAAGCCCTTTTAATATTACAGTCCATATAAACCAAAAAACGTCAATTTTACTCGAACCCCGAAACCACCTCTGTGCCACCTCTGTGCTGATCGAAATCATGACATGAGAAACTCACAGATCGAATAGACCAGTTTCGAATTCCAAATTACCGCTGTGTTCCTTGATTACAGACTCATTTGCACAGGGTTAGCCTCGTATCAGTGTTATCAAAGTTGTTGATCAACTTTGTTGATAAGTTGATCACATGTAATGAGTCCATGAATCAACCCTGAGACTCCAGCTACCACCACACCACTAATATGAAAATTGAGCCTAAAAAAACGATCTATTCTTTTAGGTTGAGTGTTGCTAGGATACCTACCGTTGGCGCTGAATGCCGCAGTCCTGCAAGGAGCTTTATGAGCCGTGACGTAGTATGTTTCGTACATGGCGGCAGGCGGCGTGGTGCCATGATCTGTGAATTAATTACAATGAATAAAAATCACATATTTGCGTAACTAAAACTGCCTTCCACCGCATTTATTATTATGCCAGTGGAGGTGATAATGGGGAAACGTTACTACATAATGCATGTACCAGTTTGCTTATCATTTACCCGAAAAAACCGGAAATTCCGGTTGAAAAGTTGCAGAAAACTCGGTCTTCCCATTGAGGAAATACACTTTTCCCGCTCTTTTCGGATTTTCCGGTAGACGCGTGTACCATTAATTGCGATTTGTGGAAAGTCAACGTTTCCCGCTCTTTTCTTACCATTACCATTTAAATGGTAGGCACCCCGTTGTTCAAGTGATGCTGTGAAATTATATTTTAAGCGTTCTTCGTACTTACATATTATGAGGCTAAAGTAGACGCTAATAAATTGAATTGCTAGTAGTCGACTTCGATAAATGATTCAACCTTGTTTTTTTGTATGTAGTTTTCATGGGAGAGCCGATTTAAACTATGTAAATGAAAGCCATGAAAAAAGTACATAAAACAAAGTATATTTAAAGTAAAATACGAAAAAAAGTTTCTTGGAAGATAATATATATTTTATTAGACATAATATAAGCTTTGTTCAACATACTATAGATATATCATACTATATAAGATACAAGATATGGCCTACATGTTCTGTACAACAAATTTCAATAATCAAAGTATAATTCTCAATAAAATACTTGTCCTGTTTAAAATGATAAAAGACAAAGAGCTAAGACCGAAAAGACTTGTAGATGAACAGACAATGAAGAAAAAACTGGGTTGAGTAAGCATTGCATTGCATTCTGGTACGAAATAGACGTTATCCTATAAAYATCTTGTCTCCCTCGCATCCGTTCTCAGTGTTGCGTGACGACCGCACTATGCCGGATAAGTTTGAATCCGAATTTTCACATCGAGGCCGAAAAAAAAGTTTTCCGTCCACACTAATACGGCTAGCTGGCTTTTTCAAATTGTTCCACTCTGGAGACCGTATTAGAAAAAAACCCGGACTAGTGTGGACGGTAGGCCTAACCGAATAAATAGAAATTCGGATTCAAATTTATCCGACAAAGTGTGGACGTAGCTTAAGAACGGATGCGAGGGAGACTAATAAACTACTAAAACATTTCCAAAAGGCACTGAAATTCTAATTCGACCCAGTTTTTTCTCAACCTCGGAGGAGGAGTTATCAAACAAAGAACGTAAGGTGATTTTGCAAGGTCCTAAATATCTGTCCATAACATAGTTTCCACTGTAAATCTATTACTCTTTCAGAGCTGTTTTCTGTTCTGCCTACCTGTTTTATCGTCTTCAAACCCGGTTCTCAGTTTATATTAATTTTTCATAATCATAAAATATCTGAGTTGATCTATGTACAAAGACTTCAGCAGCATTCAAATGTGACGGTAAAGTGCCGTACATTGACCTTCAAATGGCTTTCCTCTCAGCCAATCACAAAACGAGGTACTAACAAGCACCATCCAATCACAACACTGAGTTCATTTCAAAAGCCATTTGAGTGCTACTTTCGTACCGCACGTCCTACAATCAGACGAAATCTGCTCTGAACTGTATTTTACGATAGCATCATCATCTTTTAAACAGAATGAAACCGAATCTTTCTTCCAGGAAAAAAGCCTATTATAATTTCATAATCATCGAATCAATGCATAAATACCTATAATTGTTTTTATATTCTTGTAAATAGATGTATAATAGTATAGTAATAATGAGATCTTTATCTTGTTACGAGACAAAGATTTGTTTTCTAAAATAGTTTGATGTGAATGTAGCAGCGTTCGGTTAAAATCCCACTAGCACTTGAGGTTATGGACGCTGTCAGCTTTGGATGGAATTGCTATGAGTCGGGAAATAGTCGGATGAGACTAGTGTAGAAGTCGATAAAGTTTCGGACGAACTTCATATAGAGCTCGTTACACGAATTGCGTCAGTCCTATCAACTTGAACAACGTAAACATTCTGGCCAATCTCCACCTTATTTGGGTCAAAAGAATCTCTATGAAGAACCAATGGCTGTTCGTTATTCTCCATGTCATCAGCTGCTAGACTCTGTAATGGCAGGGTTTCTATGGTAACGACGTCTTCTGGAATACCACAACTTGACCCGTCAGAATCCTTCTCTGAATCATGTACACTTTCATTAGCGTAGTTCACCTTCAAGTGGTTTTTTTCTAACGACACTCGTGAAGCAGGTCTGGTTTTTAGAGGCGTTGGTTGTTTTCGAGATAAGGCAGCGATTTTGGATGCCACAAGGTTGTGTTCTGGGTCCCTTTGCTCTCGAGACACTGCTGGCATGGGTTCCTTTTTACACACTACGTACGATGGTACTTTTATGTGACGTGTGGGATCCCCTTTCGCCATGTAAAGCACACGAGGATGAATTTGTACAGGATCCCTGATCACGGGATGTCCCTCGTGTTGCGGGAAATCGTTTGACATGTGTTCTGGCTTTTCTCTTTGTGGGCTGGACATTTCTTCTTTGACGAAAGCTGGAGGCGAACCCCTTGAGTGTAGACGGGGAGGGCTAGTGTGTCGTGTTCTATCGGGGCTTGGTGTTTGAGAGAGATACGAGATGGAGCTATCGTAACTCGTGTTATATTTTCCAGCTTTGCTGGGGGATGGTGAGTAGTCGTTCATGTCTTCTTGTTTAAATGCCATCTGGGAATAAAGTAAAAACCCATAGTTTTACATTAGTATTATCAATCACCACTGAAAGTGAATAAAAATGCAAACAAAAAACGAACGGCAAGAAAATATGGATAGATCAGATGGAAGGATGGAAAAATGGGAAATGGAAAAGCATGGATGGTTGAAATGAAAGGAATAAATGGATTTATGCATGAGTATGTCAATAAATAGATAAGGAATGGAAGAATCAAACGTTAAAATCCATTAACTGGAAATGGAAATATTAATGAATGAGTGAAGGAACGGGATAAATACAATTTAGACCTAATTCGTCTTGTTACAAGGTTTCCCCATTACAGACTATACGTCAATCGAAAAGGTATCATTTCTTTGTTTAACGGTTGCTTATGGGAAGACACATCAATATGGATACAACTAAAACGAAGAATCTTGCCAACTGTCTCGCTTAGCCTATGGCTATTACAGCTGGCTTGTAACAATTTTCTGTATTCTCGTAGTTTAGTATATGTAATTTCGCAATTTTGGTACTAAATAAAGATTGATTGATATTGATGTTATGAATCTTATGACACTTGGTCTGTAATGTGAAAATACTTTGCCCAAGCTAAAGAGGTCTAAACAGAAACGAAGGAGAAAAAACAATAAATTCTTCTTACCGACAAGCTCATTCTCTTCCTCACGTATCTCTCTTCCCTCAGCTGTCTAGCCTTGGCAGCATAAATAGCACGTCTTTCCTCCTCTGGCTTGCTCAAAAACTGTCTCATCTTTTCAAAATTCATTCTGCCTTTACTGTTCGCCTTCTCGGGAGTATAAAACACTTTTTCCCCGTGTTTCAACATCTCAGACAAGTACCCCTGTGTCTTGCCAAGAACGCATTTGGCGAATACTTCCTGTGAAATGTTCATTTTCTGAAGCTCTTTCTTGACGCGTGCGCAGACGTTATCGGTGTTCAGGTCGTCGTTGTGGTCGATGTACCCGCCATTTGAGCAAACAACATTGATTTCTTCTGCAACAATCTTGGCTTTGGTGATTTTCAGGATGTGTTCCTGGACTTCTTGAGGGGGAATGTTTTCACGGTCAGATTCCCCGCCACTGTCCGAGCTACACGATGCTTTTTTGGCATTTGTGTTTACCATGTACCCCTCGGCATCAGTTTGGCCATTTCGGTGGTGCCCGTTGTATTCTGGGATAGGAATGAAATGGAACAGTGTCAAAATGCATACTGAATCTGGTTAAGGATTAAATAGATTATGATTATTTAACTTAATTACTTTCTTTCTTTCAATTTTCATTTTCCATTTTTCATTTCCCATTTTTACGATAACCTTGTCATTTGCTTTAATTTACTTTTTATTCGTATTTATATTTTTTAAAGTCGATTCTATTTCCCATTCTGTTTTAAATCTTAAAAACTTTAAGGCATTTTTTTGAGTTTTTGTGGGTTATGTAAATAAGATTTTACAATCACTCTTTGCTTTATCTCCGTACTTCTATTCCATATATTTTTTTAGAATTTACATAACCCACAATTTATAACTAATTTATGGTCACTTCTCGTGTCATAGAAAACTCTTTAATATCACAGTAAGAAAGGACATATTTTAAGGGTAATTCCTACTGACTCACGAATCAAAATTAAAGACTTTCCTAACGTTTTTTTAAAATGGGTTTATGACACTTGAGATCGTAAATCCAAGCAAACAAAATAGTTATGGTAATTAACAATAGGTCTCTTTAGATTGGAGCTAATAAGCCTGAAGCGAGATGACGTTTTACCCCCGACTCTATACCATAATAGTTTTTAAAATTCTTTCATATTAAAATCTTTGATTCCTTAGAGAATACAGGAACAATAGTCATAATTAAAGAACAAAAGCAGTGTGAAAAGGATTATGGTCTAGAGATGATTCTTTTGTTTGTTTTACCTTCATTTATTATTTCCTCTCAAGCGAGAATGGTGAAGAAAGAAATAATATTCAAGAGAACCACATGTGGTATGAAAAACTAGGAAAGTATGCCTAAGCTAAAGAATTTCTTTCTCATTCACAAGCACATCTTTGACCCAAGGTTTCTATATCTTCTCCTCTCTAAGACGAGAACGCTTCCAACTACAAGAAATCTAAATTTATATAGATATTCTATGGAAAAAAAAGATTTATTGCCTTTTTCATTAGACTAGTTGGTTAATTGCTCATTAACATGCCACGGTCATCATGGAAAAAAACCTTTTAGCCCTGACGATCTACAAGAGTTCAAAATAACATCAAAAATAAAGGCAGATATTGTAGGGAAGCAAAACCTCGGTAAAATTTCACTTTCGATTTTATTTTCCATTTGGCACTTCRATATTCTTTGGCTCAACCTGCATCTATTAGTAATATTTGACTGGCATGTTGGCCATTATTAGCCTGCTATTTTGAACCCTATTTATTAACAATTTGTGTTTCCATCTATGTTCCAAACTATTACATGTAAAAATCAATTCTACAAATCTAAAAAATCTACAAAGCTTTTTGCTGTTGTATCACAGCGTGGGACAATCACAACAGAGCTTAGGTTCCAAACTAGGTGAAAGCCGAAAGATCGAATTAGAATTTAGAAGTTGATTTCAATGTACAAATGTACAACTCCCTTCAGGATACTGCAACTAGATAGTGCATCAGTCATTTTAAGGTTGAAGGGGAAAACTGGATCGACTTTGCATTGCAGTGCATTTTAGGGCTGTTTTAGGGAACGAAATAAAGGCCTTCTCAGAAATGTGTCCCCTAAACAGTCCCACAATGCACTTCAATGCCAAGTCAACCCAGTTTTTTCCTGCAACCTTAAGGCCGGTTTAGACGGTACGATTTTCGCCTACGACTATCATATACAACACCCTCGCTCCATCCTACAACTCGAGTCATAGCGTGTAAATCAAGCCTACAACTCGCCTACGACAGACGTGAGCGCGTTGTATACGATAGTCGTAGACGAAAATCGTACTGTCTAAACCAGCCTTTAGAATGGCTGATAGAGTTGAAACAGCTGCACTGCTAGATGTTTAGCTAATCATGAAGAGACAGATGCATAAAGCAGAATATGACATAGATTCCTGACTGAAGATATTTTAGGCTTTTTAGTACTAAGAATGAGAAGACAAAACAATCCATGTTATTTTTAATAAGTAGTTATTAATTGTTAATCCCTTTTTTAGATTTATTAGAAATTTATCATTTAGTTAAAGTTATGAAGTAAAGATAATTATTTTATGAAGTACCATTGAGGCCTAATATTGGATATAAATCATTACAATTTTGTTGTTTCTCTACTGAAAATGCTGGGTATTAAAGTGACATTTCTGATGAACTCCACCAAATTGAAAATAATGATTTTGTGGGAAAAGAAGGAAGAAAGAAGAACAGGAACACCAAAACCTTCGAAGAGAAACTCATTAAGTCCTCCCCTGATCTGTTATCCATATTTACTCCACTCTCACTAACATAACCTAGCTAGTGTTGAACTCCTCATGTTATGATGTCATTAAAAAACTCATGAATAATTCATGAAGGAAACGCAATAGAAATCATGACCATGAAGGAGGTTTTATATCTGATATAGATTCGTCTTCATTTGCATAAACTTTAACTTGGATTTTCTCTATCAAACTTGGTTCATTTTGTAAAGAATTCAGTACAATATAAGAACATACATCATGAGTTTTTTAAGCCTTTCAATAAACTCGCAGATCGTGTTTTATCGGGTCTAAAACCACTCGGCTATGACTCGTGTTTTTAAATGCTGATAAAACACTCCTGCTTGTTTATTAAACATAACTTGATCAACTGATTTTCTCTGAACTTCCTATATATCTTTCCTCATTCCCCTCCCATTGTAAAATTAGACATACTATATTTTGCAGCCCAAATAGAATTTACATTCCATATTACCAATACTTTACCCTTACCGGCTTGTTTCAAATGCTGTAAGTGCAAAATAGTATTCTATATTTGAGGTTTTGATGTCAGTTCAAACAACAAGGGACAAATAAGATCCATTAAAATATTTATTTTCTACAATATTTAGGCAAAAAAATCTCAGATTTTTAAATTATCTTTAATTTAGATTCAGTACACAAGATGACAAGTCCTTCCATTTCATTACTTACCCCCCCTCCCCCCCCAAAAAAACACCTAACTTTAACCAAGAAAGAAAATCTACTTTCATTGCCAAAAGTAAATATTTAAAAAACCTTTTTTTCACTTTAAATCATATTACTTGATCAAAGGACTCCCAAAAGAAAAAATATATTGGTTCCATGATAATACTACAGTGCATATCTGCTTAATGTACCTTAATTAATACACAAATAAAAAATAAATGATGAATATATTAAATAATATTCCTTGTGAGTTGTTTGAAAATAAATATATTGATTCTCATAGAAAATACATAAATAGTAAAACATTCTCCGATAGTTGTAGTTGAAACTTGAATGGCTCGTCTTCACAAAGTATAATAGAGACAAAAGCAACTCAAAATTTTCCTTCATGAGATAAATGAATGGTTTTGAATTTAGCAGTGTTGACAGTACACCTGACAGGTGTGCTTGGTATTGCCACATACATACCCATCAGTATATGCATGATATTTGCTGGCAATATATACCTTAGGCTCCATAATATATTCTCTAAGTGATTTCCTTATTAATATTACCACAAAATTATATTTGTATTTCTTGCATTAGAAAATGAAAAATAAACTACCTGATGGTTCTCATGGTAGTTTATGATTTATGACACAAGACAAAGGCAATGTACTATGATTTTTTTGTTTCAAAATTTTACCAAAACAAAAAAAATCAAAAAAAAAAATTTTTTTTTCATACTGTAGATTTCAAAAAGTTTCCAAAGAAGTAATATTTCATTTTAGTAAAAATACACAGGTGATTATTGAAAATCTCGCCAGCTGATTGGTCGAAAAATTCACACTATACACAATAATCACCTCCAGCGATAATCCAAAATGGAGGCCAGCCCCTTTGTTGCTGTTACCGGGAAAAAAATGTGTCTTATCTTCTTTTTTTTCTTTTTTTGAAAGAATCACCTGTGTATTCATACTAAAACAATTATTTGACTCAGCCTTAGTGAATAACGGAGAATATTTACCTCGCTGCTCAAAGACTCGTGTCTTGGTAAATATTCCCTGATATTCACTTTGCCTTCTGCGAATAATTATTAAATAATCTACATGCTTCCTACCTTCAGGTTCATATTCCAGATCAATGCCTTTGGAAGCCACAGAAGGTCCAATTGCATTTGTGAGTCCAGGAAGCTGCTGATTCTCTGGTCTACTACCTGTAATATAAAGTCATTCATTTTACTTGATGTACCAATGGTCGAGGACCATGGGGAGTAAGATTCCAGATGGGATAGGAAAAGTGATTCAGCTTACTAGTAACTTGTATACAGTCATTTAAGGATGTTTATGGACTAGTAATAAGTAATTATTGTAGCTGTCCATAATCATTTAATAAAAGAGTTCAAAACTGGTGTGTTTTTCTATTGTGCAGTATAACCCAAGAGTGGTGAGCTTATTGCTCTACAACAACAGGACGTTTGTGGACATTGTTTGCATGCAGTGAGTTTTACATGCATGATTTCATGTAGTGCATGTGTACCACATCATGATGACATCATTCAAATGCTTTGATAAGCCAAATGTCAAGAAAATAAGTCTTTCACTTCTTCAAACTCTTACTTTTTCTCTTTATATATCACTATATATGTATCTAAATAAGGTTCTCACCAAGTTTTAAGCATTGGAAATTAATATTTTTTTAGATTATCCATCTATGCAGTCCAAATAATCATTGCATACCATTTTCATTTGAATTATCTCCAAAACTTATATCGATCTATTGGCTAAATTTAATTTCATTTTGAATATATTTTAACATTACCTTCTGTTTCTGCTCGCAGCCCAAGGTTGACCACCTGGTGTAGTCTTGCAGATGGAGGGCACGGGCTCATAATATTGGTAGTTTTAGCTAAATTAGCAGCTATGGCCTCACATCCATCATATCGCAGCTGACTGAAAAATGAATTCCACATTAGGTGAAAACATAAAAATGTCAATGTTAAAAACACAATAGTAAAAATGAGTTGTCTGAATGAAATACACCAACAATTATTAAATACAAACAGAGCCAACTGTCATGAATTTAGGATAATCATAAGAAGGACATTAACTTTACTACAGGCACAGATCAAATATTTCAATATTAGAACTTCCTATCACATTGCAACATTTACTATTCAAAAAGACTCACAATTTTAAAAAAAAGATAATCATAATAAATAATTGTCAAATTTGAATGAAGATGCAAAAATATCAATTATACTTAAGCTGGAGTTGGCCTTGTTGGATTAATTATTTCCCTGATGCTCAGAACAAACACAGAGGGRAAAAGCAGTGAAACACTGAAATGTGATATTTTATAAAAAGCATGATTATCATTTTATCATTCAAAAGATTGCTTGTCTCAAGTCAATTTTCAAATGTTTGATTTTCTCCTGATCTGAAAGATTCCTACATGAATCGCAAGTTTTTATCTGCAAACTAAGACTAGAATTTGCATTTCTAAATATATGTTGGGTCAGTCCAACGATTGAAATTCAGTACGAAATTGATTTCAAATACATTCTTGTTTTCGTTAATATTTCCAACAGCAAGTAAATTTAAAACCTATACCCTTGCTTGATACATTGTACATTTGTAAAAATTAATATGAAAAGAAAAAATACTGGAATTTTGTAAACGAAAATTGTAAACTAAAATGTTTTAATACCACATAGAAGCTATTTCATTAACTACTTCATCTTTTTTGGAAACTAGTATTGATGATATATCGACCTTAAAATGGCATTATTGAGCTATGAATAATTTATTTTCTTCTTCTGTCAAAATCTATTTAATCTTGTCCCTCTTTTACAAGAGATGTAATTCCTTCTAGTGACCCGATATATATATTTTTGATTTGAAAACCTTTAAGAAAATCGATCTGATTATCACTGACTGAATAAATCATATATAAGCTTACTGATTTTCAAATAACGTTTTGTTCCACTGTAACAAATACATTAAACGTTTACTCTTAACCCCTGAACCTTTAAAAAGTTCGCAAAAATGAGAAGAAAAAAGCATTCAAAGGTAGAGTATTTTAGATTAAAACGTTTTATTGGTGATAATAGATCTGAGATCGTGATCAGAAACGATTTTTTATAAAAATAACAGTGAAGAGACCTCATTGTGTATTGTGTAGTGAAAGCATGGGTTGTCTTCATTTCTGACCTGTCAACAAACCCCAACGAAAACCACCAAAAAATCACCCCACACTCAACAAAAACTGTCTCCTGTGCCTGCAAAAGAGTATCCCAAAGTGTACGAAGGAGAGTTTTTACCTTATTATCATTTTATAGAGGTTTTCGCGGTCTTTGACGGCGTCCTCCATTGTGGAACACGTTACTTGAAGACAGTTTACATGGGCCACATTGAGCATGCGCAGGTTCTTCTGCTAGGAAAATCAGGACCAGGACAAATGGACGACGGATGTGAGAGCTAACAATATGACATCTCCTACAAAAAAATAATATACAGTCAATGTCATTAACGTTTTCCACCGAAAAAAGGCATTTACACACTTACACATTTACACATTTAGACTAAAAGAAATATCACGTGTTTCATTATGCATTCTTTGCTTCGTGTGCGTCAGCCTGAACTTTAAATGTAAATTTCAACTCGTGAATCGAAAATCCAGAATGCCCCGACCATTTAGTGAGGATTTAAGATGGAGAATGGTATTTCAGCGTTTGTTTTATGCCAGACC